CTTCGCTATGCGCTACCCTTGAAACCTTGTTTTCATTGTGTTTGTCTTTAATCTGGCATTATAGTAGAGTGTTGGCTTCCTAGCCAGTAGTTCTGTGGTGAAATGACATGTATGTTGCCTTCCTTTCCTTCAATGGATGTAGAAAATACATTAGCATAGTATATACATACAGAGGAGTCGGAGTCGGGGAGTCGGAGCCGGAGCATTTATCTACCGACTCCACAGCCCTGATGCACACACAGCCTTTGTAAAATGAGGAATCTCTGAATTTGTATGTTTTGGCATAAACAAAATTTTACTTTTAATTAATGAGAAAGAAAAAAATAAATTTACAGAACTTTGTCAAGGCCATGAAGTGCAGGTCTTTGCTGGTATTTAGAAGCAAGTTCGGGAAATCCTTGTAGGGTGAAAATAATGGAAAATAAACAATCGATGCCCCACTTTTCCATATGTTGACATGTTAAACTGAAGTATGGCACATCAACTGGAAGCCAGGGCTTGGAACCCCATGGAGGGTTAATTCATTATCAATGGTGGACTTTACAGACCTTCATTGGTTACCTTATTCACCCCTATTGGGTTAAACAAGACTACAGTTACTGAATCCTCAATTCCTCCCTCATCACTAATACATACTGCCAACTCTTCTTCTGTAGGCAAAAGCAAGTCTTCAATAAATCTGCCAGCAGCCCTAGTCTCGTCCTGGGAACATCACATACATTCGCTTTCCAGGAGTAATCGGACACCGTGGAGTCCAAGAGACCTGGCCTGATCGCCAATCTTTAATGACGCAGTGGCTAAAATATGAATGGTTTCAGCAGAGCAGTCGAGAGGTTCATCTCAGCCTGAAGGCTGCATTTGTAATGCCATAGCCATTAACACAAACTGGTGGGAGGGGGGGCTGTCACATGATACTCAGCCAGTACATTTGCTCTCTGAATTTGCGATGATGAAACAACATTAAATAATACATTACTGCCACAACTTATTAGGAACATTTGTGTTCATAGCTGTGGAAAGAAAACTGAATAACAATGATTATTAATTCCCCCCCCCTCCCCATTTTACAAAAGGTATATGACCCACACAGACCTGTGGGGATCAGCATACACAAGGCCTTTGCGTGAAGTGTACTAGTCTCTCTCCCTAGGCCTCAGGTCCAGCGGTAAGCTTCTGTTAGGTGACATGCGAGCTGGCTGTGTGAGCTGTGGCCACCTCTTGAGGAGCACAGGGCAAACAGGACACAGGAGGAAACCTCTCCAGTTCAGAGAGACCGCAGAGCCCGACTGGAGGCTGTTCAGTGGCTGCTGCAGGCCCAAAGGACCCTCGTATGCAGCGCTGCAAAGAACCTTCACAAAGGTTAGGTCAGTTTGGGGGGGGGGGGTTGCCATTATCCAAAAAAAGGGGATGAGACACTGACTGAGACCATGAAGAGGAACAGGAGAAGAAAAACATGTATTTCGAAGAAGACAACTTGGAAGAAGAGCTGGACAGACACACACAGACACACACTGGCGCTTTTTCACTGTTAGTAAGAACCAAGCCGTACCGGAGCCGTACCATGAACTGATGGTTTTCCTTTGTAAATTGTCCAAACTGTACCAAAGCCATATCCACGCTGATGTGCCCCTGCTTATCGCACATCCCGATGTATTGCCGCACTCCTGATAACCTGGAACTTGAAAAATTTCCAACAACCTACTTAAGTACTATAGACCAGCAGAACGGAATGGATTTGTATTGGAAATTCGCGCAAATTAATGCTAATTCCACTAGCGTTTGATGTTAATGTAAGACTGCAATTCTCACAGATTTACTATGTGCCAATTCATTATTTATACCATGTGAACAGTAAATGAGCATCTTTTCAGTTTTCTGTCACTGCTACTCACCAAACCCAGCAACCCCTTTACCGAGCCAAGCCTTCTGCAGTGGAAATCTGAAGTGAGCTGAAATTGTGCTGTAACAAGTCTCTTCACGGTATTGCTCAGTTCTTGTATGCCAGTAGAAGAGCCATCTTTGCGCAGACCATCCATTCATTTCTATGGGCATAACCCTAATCCCAACAATGACAACCTTAACCCCTACCCTGCCCTAACCTTAATCATAAGTAACCAAACAAAATAAAAGACTTTTGGCATTTTTAGTTTTTGACTGCACACAGGATTTTCAAAAATTGAGTTTCCCCTTATGGGGACCAAAAAAAAAATAAATTCTCACATTATAGGAATGAATGATTTGGGGAAAATATCTAATCACGATTTTTTGACATATTATGATTGTGATTTGTTTTGTGATATACAATTCTTAAAAATTCAAGCTTCAGTTCAATATTTCACTATGTTCTGATGTTTAGTTTATATTGACTGCTGTCATCAAAAGAAACAAATGAACACCATGAATCCTGTCGGTGTCCGTCTGCCCCCTCCCAAAGCTGTAAACCTAGAGGAAACAGTGAACACCATTAAAAAATACTAACTTATCTACATTCTAATGCAAGAAAATAAAGAAATACCTACTGGAAGCAATTCACACACACACACACACACACACACACACACACACATTTTAATTAGCAGAGAACAAACAAGCATAAAACAATTACCACAAAACCTGTGAGCAGCTAAACGCTGCTTGGACCCTTAATAGAACTGTAACAATCTCTGACCATGACAGAGACAGGTAATTCAAAAAGCTCATAAGTGAAACAGATATTTTTTTACACAGCGAATGTAACATTTTCCTTTGGTTTCATGCGTTGTTGTTTGTGGGCATATACAGAAGTCTCCTTGGGCCACTTCTGTTTGGTGAGCATGACTGGCACTCGAGGAACACAGCGCTTCTGTTTAGGGAGAATGACTGTCACACAAGGAGGACAGCATGAAATTATAAAACTATTCTTGCGATAGTTTTAAACTCTGGGTCAGGCCTGCTGTTTAATGCATATCCTAAATCAAAGCCTTTGTAATTTGCATTGTTTAAAATCACAATTTCAATTTGAAATTGATAAATCGTTTATATGGGAGGTATTTTCTGCAAAAAATTAAATGGAAATAAAATTAAAATAAAATCTCCACTGCCATTTAGTTTTCAAAGTCTATGCGCAAAAATCCCGCCCAAATTAAAAATAAAATAGCACCATTTGCTAATTTTCCACTCATTTATGAGTCAGATGTGAAAAATTTAAAAAATTAAATTTTGTCTTTTCATTTTCCAATTTGCCCTTTCATTTCCTACTTTGCTTTTTCATTTTCAAGTTCACAACATGCAATTATATGTTAATTGGAGTGGGCAGTGGGCAGAGCGTTCTCAGTGCGTTTACGGATTCTGTTGTCCTTGTGGTCCTTGCGCACGGCTGCCCGTGTCACCGAACTAATGGTAAAGTCACACGTAGCTTAAGTTAGCTACTCATTTGCAGCTTCCGGTTCATTTAGCTTCTTATTCGTAGCGTCGTTCATGGCTCAAGTTATTCCCAGGTTCCCTAGAAGGGACTGTTCGCAGCGGCACATGCTACACAGTTTATATTTAAGATATTTCGAAAATATGAAATGAAATATGAATAGAATTTTTAAGCAGTAGCACATATATGTATGCAGGTATGCCATTGTAAGGAAAACACTCAAATTTAAAAAATTGCCCACACTGCCATGTTTCCAGCTCGGTAGCCTATTACACCTATCCAACCCAGGCTAATTTCAGTGTCCTTACAGTGGCGTATGTGCCTGCTGTGTGATATGCATTTCATATTTGCCCTACCCAAGATGAATATGTCCTCCACATTCCAATTAGAAATGTGGCTCATTCAAATCAATGTGTATACTTGCTCAAAGTGTCACGCGACCAGTTTAATGTTATGAAAGAAATATATTATGCCTGGGTAATTCCACTATTTTCATTACAGGGAGACTTGTGAAAATCTTATATGAATTGTGATAAATACATGTGCTACAGCTTACAAAATAACTTGTGAATAAACAATGTATTTCCAAGATACGAGAAGTGAAGAAGTCTTGCGGAAAAGCTGCAGCATGTGCCGGGCAAACCTTCCCTTCTAGTAACGCTGCGAATAAGAAGCTACATGCAAATAAGTAGCCAAGTTAAGTCGCGTGTGACTTTGCATTAGTGTGGGCAACATGGGTGACCATGTACAAGAAACTTAACAACGGAATCTGCAACCATACTGTGAAAACTCAGCTATGATCCATAGCTCCGCCCACTGCCCACACCAATTAACATATATTTGCATGTTGTGAAAAAGCAAAGTTGGGAATTGAAAGTTCATTTTGGAAGGCCAAAAGGGTTTTTTATTTTTTTTTTTTTTTTTTTCACAAATGACTCATGCATGAGTGGAAAATAAAATTAAATTTGCGTTATTAATGGTGGGATTTTTGCACATGGAAAATGTAAAAGTGAATATTGTATTTATCATTTTCATTTTATTTTTTGCAGAAAATATCTCCCATAAGTTTAGCCTTACCACAATGTCAAAATAACTGGTTTCCACAATGTAATTATATACAGCTTTGAAAAAAAATTTGACAGCACAGCAAAACTTTTAGTTTAATTTCTCAATTTAATGGGTATGCACTTATGTAAAATCTACGTTTTTTTGCAAACTGCAGCCTGGCTATTCCCTGCTTTTCATTGATGAGGGGCTTCTCCCTTGCTTTATGGGTCTTCAGTCCTGCTTCTAGGAGCCTGCTACGGATTGCCCTAGTAGTGCATTTCACACCATATTTGTTTCCCATTCTTTCTGAAGGTCACTTGAGATCATCCTCCGATTTATGAGGCACTGCCAGATAAGTTGATGGTCATCTCTGGCATTACAAAATTTCTTGCGCCCTCTACCTGGCTGGTATTTAATTATGGCCGTGTCTCCTGCTTCACCTTGTTGTTGTGTACTGATGTCTTAGAAACTTTGAGCCTGGAAGCAGCCTACTTTCGCAATGTAGCCTTCTGTCAGCATAATCAGAATTAAACCAGTATTTAAAAATGCAGATGATTTTTAAAAATATATATTGCTGCTAATTTTTCCCAGAGCTGTACATGACCACACCCACATACATCAGAAAACTTCCAAGGAGCTTTATGTGGCCTACACAGAGATCTATCACACTCACAACCCTCAGACATGCATGGACGTGTACCTGTACATCAGTGCAGTAATGACTGTACACGTGCCAGGTTTGAACATTAAATGCTCAGATTCAAGGAGTTCTGTAAAAGTGTGACCCCCCTTGGGGCAGAGCCACTGGAGTAATTCAATGACAGTGTTCCCACTGTGATATGTCACAAACCTGAGCTGGACTGTCCCAACCTGGAGGGACATCTTTCAGAATAGCACACCTGCAGTCAGCAAGGTATCCCAAACCTCAAGGCTAATGCTACCAGCTAGGGGTGTCTGATTTGACAATATTAAATCATGAACGATTGAAATGTTTCCATGACCTGCTTTTATGGACAGACCGTTAGTTATTGTGCTACAGTACACATGCTATCAGTTGCATGTCAGTTAAATCTATTTGACACACCATAAACTGGTAGTAGCAAACAGTAGGTAGTGCCTTGGATTTCTTCTTCTCTCCCTTTCGCACCCTCGTCCCAACATGAAACACCTTCCTTATTTAGCAACATAGTAGCATGGACAACATAGAGAGCTTGATCCCTAAAAAGAATTCAACATCAGTAACATGGAACTTGTTTGGATTTTCCAAAACTGAAGCTGTTGCTGTTCAGTAACTTTCAAAACAAACATAAAAAAATATATAATCATACGATCATGGATCATGATCCTGCCTGGGAAAAAAAATCATATGATATGATATTTTTGCCACCGACTGCCACACCTTAGCCCACAGAGCCAATGTGAACCTGATAGTTGCTGTTGTATGACAGTATGGCAGCCTATCAGGCTGACACTGTAAATGAATGACAGTGTCATGTCAAATAAACCCTCACATACTGAAACCAGAGTGGTTGCAGAGAAAACAAGAATACAAAAACACAGGTCTCACATGTCACCACAATGCAAGTACAATAAAACCTTGGATTGCGAGTAACTTGGACTGCGAGTGTTTTGCAAGACGAGCAAAAATTGAATAAGTTTTAACTTGAAACAAGCGAGGTCTCGCAATACGAGTATTACGTATACACTTTGTCTGCCTAGCATCACGTAATCACAACTGAGTCGATGGTTCTTCTCTTTCTTGCTGCGGGATTGTGGGTAATCGTTTCCTATGCTTGGTCTCGGTCTGCATGCCTCACTCGTATAGTAGAAAAGTACCACCTGAATAAGCCCGTAGCAGTGCGAACGATGAATCTGTTTAACGACAATGCAATATCACATTTCCGCGAAATTGAAAAGGAGACAAAAGCAGCTGTCATTGGATAGGTTCCTTGTTAAAGTCGCACAAAAATGAAGATTCCAGTGAGCCAACAGATAGCAGTGATTCCGTCAGTTAGTCATCCTGCAAAATAACCCTCCTCTTCTCCTCTCTCGTCTCCCTCACACCATCCACGATTCTTTTCAAAGGTAAAGTGCAGGTTAATTTGTTTAATGTATTTTTACTTTATATTTTGTATTAATCATTTTTATATGAATATTTTTCGGTTGTGGAACGAATGATCTGAGTTCCTATTATTCCTTATTTGAAAATTCGCTTTGATACACAAGTGCTTTGAATTACAAGCACGTTTCAGGAACAAATTATGCTTGCAAACCAAGGCACCACTGTATATACATGCTAACCACTGCGCGCACACACGCGCACGCACACCAACTAAACCGGGGTATGCCTAGTACCAAAGAAAGAAGAGGTGGGAAAGGCCAATTAGTTTATATTCCACAGGCAGTAATTATAGCTCATATCTATGCATTAAAGCCACACAGTTTACCTCTACATAACCCGCATGGCATAGTCATTACAGCACATTTTAATAGAGCTCATTACCAATATGCCCACAAGCAGAGAAGGAAAAACAAAATCACCTCACAGGAAAACTGCTCCTTTAAGGACAAACACATTTATTGTGTTTCCAAAGGGGCATAATGACCTCTAAGTTCGGAAGGGAGGATTTGGACTAGCCCGTTTGA